TTTTAATGTTAACATAAAAACGTTGATTATTTCAAAACAAGAAATCTAGAATTTTTTTTTTGTTTTTTTTTTGAGCTATTGTAAAAAGGGTTTAGAAGAGATCCCCGTTGGAAAAATTTAAAAATTTTGATTTTTCCCTTTATATTAACAATCAAAGGCATTAAAAAATTATTTAGTATAATATTTTTCAAATAACAATTTTTCAATAAAAAAATATATATGGTTATTTTTGTAATATTTTTTAGTATTTAAAAAAAATATTGCGTAAAATTGCATTTGTTTACAACAAATTGTTATATAATATATATAACATATATATATATTTTTGAAAGAGTAAAACCAAATTTGGTAGATTTTCACACTTTTATTTTAAAAATAAAATTTTTTTTTTTATTTTTAAAAAAAAAAAACACTAACATGACATATGTTTCGAAGTACAACTTCTTTTTCAAATGTGACTATTTACAATTCGGTATCCAATATATATACGAAATAATTTAACAGAACAAAGTACTTAAGAAAACATCAATAACATTACAAAATAAACTAACTATTTAAAGTAAACATTGTCTGTATTGGCATAGATATGTTGATGATATATTGACTGCTTTTACTGGTACTAGTAGACAGTTAAATTCCTTATTAGTTTTTATCAATACTATACACCCTAATATTAAATTTACTATGGAAACAGAGAAGGATAATTCAATTAATTTTTTAGACTTAAATATTATTAAAAATAATAAAGGCCATAGTTTTGGGATATTTCATAAGCCATCACATACGGATATTACAATAAATAATAGTTCATCTCATCCATACAAACAAAAGCTGGCAGCATACAACAGTATGATCCATAGATTAGTTAATATTCCCCTTACCAAAGAGAACTTCACAAAAGAATTAAATATCATTAAACAAATCGCAGTAAATAATAATTTTAATTCAAAGTTAGTAGACAACATTTTAGAGAAAAAACTTTTTAAACAGGCTATTCAACAAGTTTATCCCATAATTAAAGATCCAAATTGCAGATATAAGACTCTTACATATATAGGAGCTCCTAGTGAAAAGGTATCATCATATTTAAAAAACCAAAATATTAACGTAGCTTTTAAAACCAATAATACGCTTGGGAAGTATATTAAAAACAATAAGGGTAAAATTAATCCTAATAATAAATCGGGGGTATATAAATTAAATTGTGGTAGTTGTCCAAAATTGTATATTGGTCAAACAGGCCGTGCTTTCAAAAAACGCTATTCCGAACATTATAATAGCTATACAAAAAACAAAAATAATTCTACTTACTCAAATCATATTTTAGCTGAAAATCATTCTTTTACAGACAACTTTGAAATTTTACATGTAGAAAATAAGAGCCTTAAATTAAACCATTTAGAAACACTTGAAATAAATAGATTTAAAAATTCAGATAACTTACTAAATGATCAATTAGATATTAATAATTCACCCTTGTACCCTTATTTACTTTAAATAGTTAGTTTATTTTGTAATGTTATTGATGTTTTCTTAAGTACTTTGTTTTGTTAAATTATTTCGTATATATATTGGATACCGAATTGTAAATAGTCACATTTGAAAAAGAAGTTGTACTTCGAAACATATGTCATGTTACTGTTTTTAAAAAAAAAAAAAAAAAAATTATTTTTAAAATAAAAGTGAAAATCTACCAAATTTGGTTTTACTCTTTCAAAATTAAATGGATTTTCATCAAGTAAAGGCCGAAACAATAAATAATATATATATATATATATATATATATATATATATATATATATATATATATATATAATTTTTTAATGCCTTTGATTGTTAATAAAAAAGTGAAAAATCAAAATTTTTGAATTTTTCCAACGGGGATCTCTTCTAAACCCTTTTAACAATAGATCAAAAAAATAAAAAAAAATTCTAGATTTCTTGTTTTGAAATAATCAGCGTTTTTATGTTAATATTAAAATGGTGAAAATTAACTAATTAACAAAAGCATAATTAATAAAAAAAATAGTGATAAAAATTTTTTGTTTACGGATTATTGTTTATTCATATGTCTACTTAGTACCCAAATTTTTTTATTCCTTAATATTAATATTTAATCAGTTAAAATAATTTTTTTAGTTCATCTGTCAGATTGGGGCGATGCGCGCGGCAGCCGAACCACGCGTTTTTACCGTTATTTTCTCCGCTTAATTAAAATTATAAGGGTTGTTGGTACAGTTCCGGGAGGTAGGACTTTTTTTAGGAAATTTCCTGCTCTTTAGGGATCTTTTTTCAAATTATGATTATCTCAAATAGTTTTTGAAATATTTCAAAAATACCAAACCCTTATTTTTTATTTTACTTTATTGTTTATAACTTTTGCATTTTTTTTTCAGCCCCTCTTGGAATTTTGATAGAATGTTCTAGATGCCATTCCGAATCGAATGAGCCCAAAATCATAATTTTCGGTGCTGGAGGACAGGTTTCGAGGGAAATGGCACTTATGAACCAGACTAGAGTAGCTACTTATTTAAATATATATATTTAGATGTCACATTATTTTATAGTAGATTAATATCCGTAACTTTTAAAGGGGTTTTATTTTTTTTATTTTTTATTACTTTTTTGTGATACAAAGGTTATAGGTATTTTTTTTAATATAAGTTTTTAGCATTTGATAGTTTCTTAAAAATCAATATAGTGTGTTACGTCTTGACATGTAATCCAATTTTGTAATAATTTTTTAAATATAAAATACGTCTTACTCTTATTTATATGTTCCGGAATAAACAAAGATTATTCGAAGAGCTATGAAATCAGATGATCGTTGTCCTATTTTCTTTTGAGCTCTATTTGTTTATATCTTGTGTCGTATTTATGGCAAATTTTTTTATATAAAAATAACTGTGGTAATCCTAATTGCCCAGATTCTTGAAATATTATTTTGTCAGTTTTTTGTAAGATTTCAATTTGTTTTAGGTGACTATCGTATATTCCTCCCCAACCTGTTATTCCATATTGTATGAGTGATTCAACCAAGGCACAGTAAATAATTTTTAATTGAGAATACCTGTCAATTTCCACTCCAAGATATTTAAGATAATCTGCCTCGTGAATAGTGATTGTATTTTTTGCGTGGTCTTTACATTTTATTATATTATTATTGCAGGTAAATGGAATATATTTTGTATTCTCGAAATTTATAGTAAGACTCATTTCATCAAACCATGATTTTATATTGCTCATATCTGCTTCAGCTATTTTTTTTATTTCTTTCCAAGTATTCCCACTGTACTGGATGACAGTGTCATCTGCGAATGATGAAATCAGTCCTTCAGATTTATAGTTTAAAAGTCTATTTATATACATAGAGAATAGTATCGGACCAAGCACAGTGCCCTGTGGGACACCATACGTTATTATAGACGGTTCACTTATAACTCCATTTACTTTAACATATTGTTTTCTGTTGTTCAAATATGCTATCCCTCTAATTCCAAAGCTGTCAAGAACATTAATTAATTTTTTATGATCAACTGTGTCGAATGCTTTAGCTAAATCTAAAAATACACATAAAAACGCCTTATTTTTATTGAGTTTCACACATTTTTTGATGATATATTATGTTTAAACGATTTGATAAACTTGAACTTGATTATAAACTTGACTCAACAAAAGTTAATAGGTGATGATTTTAAAATTCCATTTAAATATAGTCCAGTCAAAGAAACAATACTTTCTTGTTGTGAAGTTATAAAAATAAATGAATCAAAAGGAAATAATTAAGAAGGAATAGTTCCTTCTTCGTTATTAAATAAAAATATGTCTGAGTTCAACAAATTTAAAACTAAATCTACAGAAGAGATTTGTTTTGAAACAAACATGTATAAACTTTTTGAAACTGAAACTATTGATAATAATTCAGAAAAAATCAACACTAATTTAGATAAAAATAATTTAGTAGTGGAGGATACAACTCCAAATAAAGTGGACGAACTGAATACTTCAGAAACCGATTCTTTAGATGTTATTGATGAAATAGTTCAATCTCTTAAGGATTCTCTGAATCAACTAGTCAGAATGATCAGAGACATCAGCTTTGATCACATAAGATTTACACTTTTCGTGTTCTGTGCCTTTGACAAATATATGATCAATGCAAGACTTAGAATTTCCCTTAATTCTAGTGTACTGATTAATTAGCGATATAAATCCTAGTCCATACATGTTATTTAAGTATTCATTAGAGTATTTATAGTTTGATTTTATATCTATATTTATATCGCCAACTTAAAACAATAAAATTTATAGTGAATTTGCAATAGCAATAATAAAAAGTATCAAAACATTCTAAACTACTAATGGTTAAATTTAGGATTAAAAGTACTTTTTTAAAATAGAATAACAAATAAGTGTCCGTATTTAAAAAAATATACTTAATGGTGGCCCTGTGAAAACGAAACGTTGTATAAAAAATACGTCTACGGTAAATTAAGCGCTATTTAATACAAAATAAAAAATCTAATTACAAATCTTTTCTAATTTGTAAAATAAAGTCAATACAATCGAAAATAGAGTCATTCGGTTTCCCTTAAATATCTTGGAAACATATAGCAATACTATTCAATATAAAAAGTAGCCACCCTGTATAGAATATATTTTACAATTTACTAATAAAGTTGTTTACGTAGGCAGTAAAAATATAATAGTAGCAATTTTTTAAGCAGAACCGAATTTAGACCTAATATCAGTAGAAAATATAGAATTAGATTCAAAAATAATAGTAGATGAACAAAAATTAGATTTAGAATTAAAAGGCTTATTAGAGAAACAAAATCACAATAATAGAAACAAATGTCACTCACAAAAAGTTCAAATTAATGTTCCACCAACAGATATATGGTGTGAAAATATTAATAATATTTTACAACCTTACATCCCTAAGTGTTTTTATTAAATATAAAAAAAAAATAATTTAAAATAAATCCTTATTTTCTTACCTTAAATCTTAAACTGCCCAATGGTGGTTTAGCGTATGGAATACCCAAAAACGAATAATATTTCTCACCATTCGAATTCACTCCGGACTTACCCACAATTTTTCCGTCATTAATTTCCACAATTACCGAATCAAATTTATCAACTAATCTAAATCTAATTAAAAATATAAGAAACAGAAAAAATAATAGTAGTCCGTACATCCAAGAAATTTTCTTCATACTTTGTGTGAGTATATATATAAATGAATGTGCTAATTCTATAACATTAATAAGTTGATCTTGCGGTGTCCGACTTGTTATAAACTAGGTAATTAAAATACTTTTAAGTGTAGGTATTAGCAAGAGGAAAAGTTTGATGTATTGTTTTATTTCATGGCAATAATGTTAAAATATTAGAATAACAGGATCGTTTTAGGTATACTGGATTCAAAAAACAAATTTATTTTAATTTTTGCCCACCTCAATCACACATAGTTACAAAATTATGAAAATAACAAACCCCGCACTTTTGTAATAAAGGAAACTTTCTAAAATATTTAGAGTCAGATGCATTATTTAAGAAAGTGTTTGTCTTAAAAAGAAAATAATTTGGATTTAAGTAAAAAACGTTTGATACAGGAAGATGAGTTAGATATAATGTCAAAACTTGTGGGTCCCATCGAGATATGTAGCAGGCAATTAAAAAAAAAGTCTAACCTACCATTGCCTAAGAAGTATTCAGAAGAGCTAAAAGTGTTTTCCTTAACTCTCCACTATTACTCACCTGTTGCTTATAATTATGTAAGAAGAACATTTGACACTTGCTTACCACATGTCCGTACAATCAGTCGATGATATCAAAGTATAAAAGGTGAGCCTGGATTCACAAGTGAGGCTTTCAATGCCCTACAGATTAAATCAAATTCTTCTAATGAAAAAATAATTTGTGCACTTATTATGGATGAAATGGCCATTCGTCAACATGAGGAGTTTGTTGGAAGCGAACGTAGAAGTTATGGTTGTGTAGATGTAGGAACGGGTGCAAATGAAACTACGCTTGCAAACAATGCTCTTGTTTTCTTATTAAATTGTGTAAATGGAAGCTGGAAAATTCTAGTAAGATATTTTTTAATTTCAAGTATGACAGGTGAACAGAAAAAGGGGCTGGTATTAGAATAAATTTAAATTTGGCGCCATTCGAGACGAAACGAAATCATTTTGAAAATGATTAGACTTTTATCCTTTAAAAAAAGAAGAATTTTATGCTTTGGGAAGTGGTAGGTCGTAGGCTGGCAGAGAAAAAGAAGAAGATTAATTAGTGGTTGTACAAACGAAGGTAAAAGTGTACAATTTTGACATTGAAAGTAGTTGTACAATTCCAAAATCCCTAAGAACAACACTGATTATATGTATGAAAATATTTTTTAAAAACCGGTTTTTATACATAAATCATAAAATAAGTTGTTAAGTATATTCAATTGGGTAATATGTTGCAGGTAAATGAGTCAACAGTTGCGAATTCCAATGAGGTAAATAGTCCCAAGATGCGACATTTTAATCCATGCCCCCCCAGTTGAGAAATTCCGAGTTGCGAAGATACCCTTCTCATTATCCTGGTTATAGAAACTATTCTTTAGACGTCGAATGTTCTTCTAAATTAAAACCTTCACTATAATTTATATAACAAAAATAAATCATTAAAAAGAAAAAGGAAAAAACTGATATTTCAAATAAATATTTCTTTCATGTATGTATTTGCATTTATTTTCCTTCATATTTCTTTCCTTAACTGATGTAATTTTTAAAATATCCTTTAATTTTTATGAAATTTCTGTAAATAGCATTTAGTTTCCTCATACTTCGACAGTATTTTTAAATTCCCGCCTATACAAACTCTACGCATGACGTCATGCGCGTGGTCGTCCTATTTTTGACACAGTTGATATCCTACCTTCTATTTTTTATACCATGGTAACTTGGAATATTTACTGAGATCGACATCATTTTTAATAAAATATGATGTGTTGTGTATAAATTTACAAATGCAGATCTTTGTAAAACCAGATATTATAAAACCATCATTCAATAAAAAATCAGAATCACATTATCAATGAAGATTACTAGTTTTTATGTAGCTTAAAATCTACCTTGTCCTCTACAAGTATTTATAAATCATAAACTGGTTAAATAGTCTAACATTCGAATATTCCTTTGTAGGATTATCCTTTACAATTTATGAGACATAATCGCAATTAACACAAAATTGTAATCAACAAACAAATTTAACTTTGATGGTCTTTTAAGATTAACTATATAATATATAATTGTGCAATTTTTGGAAATTTAAAAATTTAATCCCAAATTTCTCATATGAAATTAATATTTGGGTATACCCACATCCCCAACTAGCCATTCATAAAAGTGTATTTGTTGTGAAGTTCTCATCATCATCTATTGTATAGTCCAGGAGACGGTATTTATTTTCCCAGTCAGCAAGCACGAATAGAGAATTGTAGGATTAGCAATTCTAAGCAAAATTCATATATATTTAGAGGGGGGATCCGATGGACTGAGGCCGAAAATGCGTCAAAACATACGAGAACACGGCCCTTTTTTTCCATTGATAAAAATAGTTTTAGTAGTAAGAGATGTACTGAAGTTAAGTAAAAAAATAGTCTGATTAATCTGTATGGATAATATATTTGGCAAGTGCATAAAATACACTTTCAAACGAGTTATGCACACAATTATTTCTGCGACCACAATTATTTAAAGAATGTTCCAGGTGTTTTGTATATTAAAGTGTACGCATAGGACACATAAATAAAATCTTATATCACAATGTTTCACCTAACCAGTTGGTTTATTTATAGAAATTAAACATAATAATTGAAGATATTACAGAAGAAAATAGGGAAATAAATTACATTTCCTTTTACACTTTTATATAATTGTTTTATTTAGAATTCACGAATCACTTATTACTCTACATTAATTATAATTAATGTTAGTTTCGTTATGTCAAATCATTTATACTAGAGGTGTGAGGAAAATACAGTGAACTGTGGAACGCCAATATCGTTGGATGCGCGTGGTAAAAATGGTCCTATAATACTGCTAAAAACATAGCTAAATTTTCATGGAAACACTGTGTACTTTTGACATTTGCGATACTCCGACGCATATGCATTATTGATGTAATCTCATGATTTTACAGTAATAGTTTTTGCAATTTTAGTGTGATTTTTAGGTTATTATGGTTATTCATTTTATTTGGTTCTGATCTTTTGCGCTTTTAGAGTATTTGTCTTTTATATAGTTTTTAATTTGAATTTTAATATTGTGGTCTATTTATATTTGATTGCTGCTTTTCGACTAGTGCTTTATTTTGTTTGTGTTAAAATAAGCTTTATAACCATTAAGTACATGCTTCTAGTTGATATCTACCTAATCGTCATCGGGTACTTGCAACAATGGGAAAAAGTGTATGGTTTTTTTGGTGTAAAGTTAGACGCCTTCATTTTTCAGGTAAGTTATTTGTAGTTATTTTTTACTCAAAAGGATAGCAATACGTCCTGGTTCGGGGTGTGACTTTTGGGTTTTAGCTATCAGGGCTAAATTGTCGGCTAAGTGTCCTCTTTTAGGGCACCCAGAACCCAAAACTATATAGGTATATAATATGTTTTTTTTTTAATTATTTTTTAATATGTATGCAGCTTGGATGAGGGCTTTAGGAAGAGATCCTAAGACTGAACACTGACTGCTGTAAATGCCGTTTTTAGAGCATATTTCATAGTAAGTGATTTCATTCTAGCAGCAATGAGGAAACGTTTAAAAAACATGCTGTACCAGCTATTACTTTAAGACCTCGTCTCTTTAAGTTATTATTACTTTATTCTAATGCATATATTAAAATGGTTTTTAACTTATGTCCTTATGATTAAAAGATGTAGGTATTTTAGTTATGTTATAATAGAAATATATGATACTTTGTATTGACTGACCTACTGGCCACTGGTCATTCCACTTTTACTCCCTTTTTTCATAAATTATCAAATTATTTAAAAACAAATACATCCTAGCGATTTTCTGTAAATTACATTAACATTTTAGTATTAATACTTTACTAATTTATCTTATATATATACACAACGGAAGAGTTAATTGGATTTTCTCCTTGTTGAGTTTCAAAAATAGTAATTTAACATGATTTAAAAACAAATACATGAAATGGACAAAATAGGCTTGCAAAGGCACTTTGTAAACAATCTCACTTGTATCGATGTGACGTAATGCGCGAATTCAATCTGGCTTACTTTTGTTAATAGATTGGCGTTCCATTTTAAATATACAGTTCACCGGGAATAGATTATTTAAATATACACGGACCGGGAAAACAAGTACGAAAAAATTCACTGGCTCCTGGACTAGTACTGTATCGAAGGAATTTTTATGAATGAAACAATATACGACCCTCCACAATTGCGGTCTACTCTACTTCCGCTGTTGTCAGAATTTTTTTTTTTTGGACAATTTAAAGACCTAACAGTAATTCAAGCAAACGCAATAACATATTACTACAGTTTAAAACATCGCAAACTTGGCATCAATATTTTAATTTTATCCAAATATTGCATTTCTGTCGAGGATCATCCGCGTTGACTTCAGAAATTGTGTAATCTGTATTGGTTATATATATCTATACTTAAAAGCACGTAAACTTGGCATCAATGTTCAATCCGATTATTGAGTTTCTACCGCGGACACCACCGTTCATTCTTCAAAAATTTTGTAAATAATCCTATCTGTCTTAGTTATATATCTATGGGTATACCCAAATGTATTGCCCAAAAATCGTTATGTTGGTAAGGGAGATAGTCTCATCACCTATATATTTTTAAATATATACGCAGATATATGTGCAAAAATTCGTTAAAATATATTATTGATTAATGCTAGATACAAACTTAAGGATTCTAATAGTTGTCCAATTTTAATTTGATCCTAAATAATAAGGGAGATAATTTGGAAAAACTAAGACCATGTCACTATTTATCTGATATAATTTTTCATTGCTCGAATATTTTAATCTTGTAAATATACGTCGAATACAGCAGTTAATTATTCATCTACGCTACTGTATTACTACCATTTGTACCTTACGGATAGGAGATTTGTCTAAAGTTTCTTCCAGGATATAAATAATATCAGAAGGTACTAAATATACTTATTAGTTGTTT